TACTCCTTTGCTTTGCCAAGTCTTTTGTTTCTTGTTTGAACCAACATATGTAACAAACACAGGGTGTGCACCAGTCTTTGACTAATAAGGAAGTAAATCAAATTAATAAAAGATGCATATGAGTGACGTATCTCTTCTAACTCTGCCAAATCTCTTCAAATTTGTCCAGCTGCAGCCTTATACAGTATGTTATTCTTTCCATGGCAAAAATTTCACAGACGATATCAGTCTAGTCGGTGGGTATGTCTGGTTTCCACCATCATCACCAAGTTTTAAAAGTGCCTCAAAGGTTTACTGTCAGGTGCTTTGAAGGAGTCTCACTAAATCATTGTTGATTTAGGATAAAGTCCAAATGCTAGTGATCTGTACTGTACAAACCTGTAATAGCCTGTCAACTAACTGCCTGCACAGCAGCCTGCCTGAGTTTGAGAAATGCTGCTTCTAATACATCTTGATATTTTGAACATTTAGGGGCTTAAAAGTCACCGTACTGTAATTGCCTTTCTGTGCCTTTTTTTTGTTGTTGTTGTTAAATTCTGTGCCTTAAAACAAACAAACAAAAACAAACAAACAAACAAAAAAAAACAAACTAAGCTATGAATCACACTCGGCACAGTTTGGTATCTGTCTCCTCACCTGAACCTTTCACCTGTCTCCACTTCCCTATCTGTGTTCCCCCTCCTCCACAGTGAATCAGGTGGCTCCACACTCTTCAGTCCTCAGTAGTGTTGATGAGAGATGGACAGACACGCTCAACATAAAAGCAGTGGTAACATACCTGTAGCACTGACAAAGACAATCTCTATGGAGACATTAAATGTCTGCGTTGGCAGCACAGCTGCCTTCATCAGAGAGCGTCTTTAGCACCAGACAGCTATGGGACAGTGTCCATATTTAATGTCTTAAGTTCTTTTTACATCAAAGCTACAGATGTGCATTTTTCTGCTTAGTTTAACTTTTGTGCAAAAACAGTTGATTCCGATTTAAAAGATTTTGTCTGTGATGATGAGGTGCCATTTTATTTTGCATAATTATCTATTTGTAAATACTACCTGGTGTCTTCATGCCACAGTTGTATTTGTGCTGTCACCTGTCTGCATGTGACAGACACCCCTCCTCATGTCCTCATAAAATAACCCCCACTGATCATCCTTCAGCAAGATGGCAGAAGGCAGCTCAAACAGCCAGGGAGGCTTGTGAATGTAGGCTGGCACCAAGACATGGAGGAGGACATGCAGACAGGTTGGTAGACATGCATGTATTGTAACTGACAAACAGTAATGACATGCGTACTATGTCTTCTGTAAGCTTACAGACAGAGACGTAGAAGCAGTGAAGCATGCGAAGAAGTTGATAGAAAGATAGACCAGCAGACACTCATCAGGTTTTTGTAAAGATGTGTGTACCCATGGCAACATAAGAGTACAACAGCAAGGATTGTAGATGTTTGTTGATTAGCAAATGCTAATCAACAAAGATGTTGAGAAGCCACAGAAATGGTGTTTATTTTTGTATGTAAATTACAGTAGGGCAGGCAGAAAAGAAGTGGTGTATTTATTATGAGTAGAAGGGCTAAAGTTGGCAAAATCCGACAGCTCAGCCTCCTGTGCATTTCCTCTCTTTCTGGCTTTGTTTCACTTTCAAGATTTGTCTGTCAGACAAAAGTCAATGACCGTGCAGCAGCAAAAAGCCCCAGTTGAACAAAATGTCACAGAAGAGCAGCAAGTAAGCAAATCTTATTTATATAGGACTTTTGGGAACACAAAAGGTGCTTTACAGGAAGAAGAAAAGATGAAAGTGAAGACTACATATGAAAAATAATAAATAAAAGCTATGGAACCAAGAAAAAGTCAAAGAAATGATTAATGATTGAAGAGCATGGATGTAAAATAATCATGTTATTGTACCCTGGTCTTTGGGTCAGAGTCTTCAAGCATAATGAGACGAGACCTCTGAAGAAATGTACAGCACAGTTTGAATTCTCAAATTCAGTTCAACATAGTGCTGTCTTATGTGCACGCTCAGTACAACTTGGAAACTTCTCCACGTTTCTTTAGCACACACACAAACTTTCACACAATAAAAGATTGATTGGCGCTTGTTGTCAACACTTGAAAGTGATTAGCTTCACTTTGTGACTGTCTGGTGTGGACTTTGCCATGCATATTTTAACAAAGTTTCACACAAACACTAAAAAAACTGTTGCCCCATCTCTCCTCTCTCCCTGGAAATTTATTCACAGCTTTGTTGTTGTATTTAAATATGAAGCTACCTTTTGGAGTATAGAATACATTTGTTCTGTCAGTGGATTCTTTATAGTTTGATGTTCGAAATGCTTTTGCTTGGTTGTTACAATGAAAGGTCTCATGGCTTAACAGTTGTCGTGTCTCTTCATTCTCCTATTCTCTGGCTTTCACGTTGCTACTCATTTGTCACATATGTATATTTCAATTTCTCTCCTCCCCCTTTTTTCCACAGTCTCTATTCTGTTTACTCCCTCTACCTTTCCTTATTCCCACTCTGCCTTTATTTACTTTCATCAGGGAGAAGTAAGAAATTCTGTTCCTGTGAAGCGCT